TGGTCGAAAGTCTCAAGGTCTAGACTACTAGTATTCTTCTCCGTTTCGATGGAGATTTGATTTTGATTGGAAGTTGATGAACCTTTCTCGCTGCTAGACTGTATATATGAATTCATGGTTGGAACTTCGTTGTATGCGATCCTTTCCGCGATTGCATTGTGCGATGGTGTCGTCCCTCGGGTCAGGCAAGAGTCTGGTACCTCGGTCATTGTAATACAATAAGTCTCGTCTTTATTGCACTTCTCGTAAAGATTTCGTAGTCGAATGGCAAATTGAAGAAAAATCGAATCGGGCTGAGCAGAAGTCACATCAAGTGAGGTCGCATTCCAACGACGTGACATTTCTTCAAGGCTTTGAACAAGAGACCAGAACCTTGGGTCCAATTCCGAATCATAATAGCGCCAATTCACTGGACAAGCATATGTTAGTTATAACCTTTGTGTTAACAGATCTGTGGTTGATCATGTATACGAACCCAGAAGTGCTCGAGCGCTCACATATGCACAGAAACCCAGCTGTGGCCTTACAGGTCTGTCCCGCGGCCAGCCCGCCAGGAATTTCCCAATAATGGTAGCATTCTCTGTAGCAGCACTTTGGACAGTTTCCGCACTATGGAAACTTGGAATCTGGATCCCGAACAGGTTCGGGCTAGGGTAAGCAATTTGGTGATGTAGTAGTATCATAGATACATTATGCGACGCATTCGCCACAGTCAGGTTCGGGTCCATCACACCGGGCACGGTGTCACGAGACACGCCTGAATCCTTCCAATGCCTGGGAATATACATTTTCCAGCTTTACTACACAGTCAGACGCGTTCGGGTCAATTCAGAGAGTTGAACTGAGCACTCACAGGATCAACCGTAGGTCCAATTCTTTAAATCGTGTTAGCCAGTCGGATAATTGTTTTCGGTCTGTTAAGTCAACACGCTGATGTAGAAAATGACCGGTCACGCGGCTGAGTGATTCGACCGATTCGACATAATATGCAAAACCTCCAACGTTCGACAAACTAATTGGCGAAGGAAGCCGAGGTCGCGTCGGGCCATGGGGCCTAGCTGCGGATGGATCCTCAAGGTTCGAAGCAGCGTGATTTGGAGGAACAGGATAATGGGATGGTAGACAAGATATCGACTTGCCTATCTTTGCGGACGACAGATCCCATATCCCGAAGTAAGCAGTGCTTGCTGGCTGTACATTGCGCCAATTTCCACCACAAACTGGAAGTCGACGGGAAGCATCAGCTGCAGTTAAGCTTGTATTCCAACTTGGAATAGTCAGTAACGACCAAGGGCATTGATTCAAGACGTACCCAGTCAATACGGAACAGAACCTATCGAGAATGAACACATTCCAAAAAACTCTTCTTCTCTCTTCTTCTACTACCCACTCTAAGGATGTAGAAAGTGTCGACACTGGCTGCAGGAAAGCTATACGTTCATGGCGATCGCCTGGCTCGACAGACAGCTGCAGGTATTCTACTGCTCTTGTGAGTGACGCAATGATTGGCCAAGCGCTTTCAGATTTTCCATTGCATAACTTGAAATCGGCGGTCAGTTTAGGCCCAGGCATCATGATGTAGACACTTACATCTGTAAAGGCAATTATAATAAGTGCCTGCAAATTTTCAACAGATAAACAATCCATAGCATACACAATTACAAGCCGTCTGGAGTTTTTTGTTTCTGCATCAACATAAACTCTTGGGAGCGACTCGTTTGTCGATGTCTTTACAAATTTCAACGCCGCCACGTTTATAGCTTGTAACACCACAGCCTGTGACCGCCGTCCCTCTGCCGTCTGTAGGCGTTTTCGAAAAGTAGCCTCATGGATCATGGGGATCCAAGGTTGTATATGTGAGAAGTATGCGTGAAGTAGTCCATCAACGTGGTCTGTAATAATGGGACAAGCCCTGTGATCATCAACGCTCCCGGAAGGAATTTGACATATTTTGGGTGATGCCGACCCGTAATGCTCCCGAGTCTCTTCTTTTCGTTTGCGCTTTCGGTCTGCTCCAGGCTGGAATGGGAGGCTTATTCTGATATTCGAGTTCAGGGTATTGAGCTCATCAGATAGAATAGCAAGAGCATCAAGCAGTCCACCATGTCCCGGGCGACTGAGTGCAGCGGCCGACTCCGAAGCTGACGTGCCTTGCCCAATATCGTGGCTACCCACAAAGAGTGCCCTTTCAACTATTTCTGGAAGGATGAAATATTTTAGCCAGAGAACCCATAGATCTAAATCAATCAACCAACCAAGACGTCTATTGAGACTTTCAACTGCTCCGCTCTTGAGTCCAGGCCGACTCTTCTTGTATTCATAAACACAATGAGTTCCTGTTGCCCATTGTCTCCATGTCAATATCCCGAAGATGTTTGCGCAGACAGTAGAATGCTGACCTAGCCGATTATAATTGGCACAAGAGGGCCGCTGCCGAGTGCATTTCAATTTCCGTTTTCGGCAGCTATCGCACGCCGTCAGGGGCTCTTCGCCCTCGGAAGTTGCGTCATGGTGATCGTCAGTGGTGTCGAAGCCCATATGCGTAATATGACCTATGCGGACAATAACTTAGTTGCATTAAGAGAGCAGTTTCGGACAATGGACGATCTATCGGCCTGTTTTTGCGAGGAGGGGAGGCCATGATTATTACTTGCTTAGGGCGCGGGGTTATTTCGGCTAAGTTTCTACCGACCTAAGGGAGAACCGTAGCCTATGAAGGAAGGCTTTGCACAGGGTCAAACTGTCTCCCTCTTGCTCTCTAGAAGGCCGTTCACTCTATATTCTATAGATATATTGCTTTCTGGAGAAAATAAAGTAGATAGATCCCTATACATCACATATTTACTTAGCTTCTAGACGTGACTTGCCCTCTTTTTGTGGTATTGTATCGTGGTTTTTGTCTTCTGTAGCTGATGTGGGGCAGTTGCGGCAGGCCTCTGGCGCAGCATTGGTGGCGGAACATGCCTGAGGTATCACGTCTGCGAGATGTCCAGCACACCTTCAATTGAAAAATTGAAGTGGCTTGACGCATAATCTGGATCTGATCTGAGTGTTTGAAAAGGGGTTTCACTGTTTGTAAAGCAACCGATCCTGCGGATTAAGTCATTTGCGTGCGGATTAAGTCATTTGCGCTTGTCAGGGACAGTAGTGACTATTGTTGAATGCCGTCCATTGTAGCACTATTCACACCAGTCTAATAAAATGTACGGGAAAACTCTACGAGTGCCATGATTGCCATCGCCTGTCCATATGGCATAGCAGTTTTCACGATGTCTTTATAAAATTGCAGTGTATCCCCCATACCAGTCCCAAAGCTAGTTTGGAGAAGCTCTCCATCCGGAGACACATTATCAAGGACCCCCTTGATGGCTGCAAGAGCAATGTCATCATAAGTCCGCGAGACATCAGAATCTCCTATCTCTGCTGAGAGATATCGCTTTCTCCTTGCTTTCAATATACCGTACGCGAATCCTGCGGTCGCTGATGCCTCGGGATATGACCCTTCCAAAGTTGACTGGTCGAGTAAAGTCCGCCACAGTCCTGATTCTGGTTCTTGGAGGTGTATCAAGGCACGGCATTGCGCACTCAAGGTATTGATGAAATGTGAGCGCAACGCAGCCATTGCAGGTGTAGATGCGAATGAGACATCATCGAGCAACTCCAACATTTCCGGAATTACAATGGTAATCCAGCTATTGCCTCTTGCCCACCGTGCTTCAGCAAAATTGTGCCCCACGTTACCCGGCGCTGAGTGATCAAATTTCCAGCCGTGAAAGAAAAGACCTGTGCGGCTATCGAATAGATATTGGATTAGAATGCACATCTGCCGTAGAGCTTCCTCGATATATTCCGGTCGATTGAGAACCTTCCCAATTTTGGCAAGAGGTAGCGCTGTCATCATTAGAGTGTCATCCCAAAGCTGGTCGTCGTTGGTTTTCACGTATGTAATATGTTGCATCCCGCCGAATTGGGTACGGGGTAAGTCATGCATAGCCCAATCACCCCAGCTTTCCAACCATGGTAGATAAACAGGGTTCTCCGTCTTTTCATAGACATATGCAAGCGTTAGAAATACGCCCATAGTGTTGATATTTTTAGTAGCTCCCCCTTCGGCAAATCGAGCTGCGAACGAATCCTCGATGATCTTGAGCAATTCTGGCTGACCGGTCATCTCATATTGTTTCCATATGCCGTAGAGGCCGACTCCATGTGTCCAATCCCACCCATTCCAGCCCTTAGTGTCGATAACTCGACCATCAGGAAGTGGTACAAGGTACTTGTCGTTGGAATCTGTCAGGCTTACGAGCCTATTGATCAGTAAGCCAATGGCCTCGTGTACTCGCTCTCGAGTAACACCATGGCCTTCGAATGACATTTTATTTGTTCTTGATATTTTCATCTTTGAGTGTTGTTCAATTAAAATATTCTGAAAATAAAGAAACGAGTGGATAGGTAATATGCCAATACATTGCGAGAATCAAATTCGAAGTTAATACTCATTACGGAAAGAGTGGAGATGAAAGATAGTAAAGAATGATCGCACATACCTCATCTTACTCGGCAATCTTTGAACCGAAGGAGATTGTCAGGATAATGCATTCGCATACTGAGTATCATACGTCTGTTTTCGCTATAACGTGGACCTCAGTGCAGCCTCGGACACACTTCCCGAGCACTCGCCCGAGCCGAAAGTTCTGAGGCTGACCTCGGGACATATGCTATTATTTTTTGGCTTCATGATTGGTTATTCGCCCGCTAAACTGACTCGGGAGTCCTTGGCGCCATCAGCTTTGTTGTACTACTGCGTACGTAGTAAGCGAAACAAGTCCGTCCCCCGCATCCCCACTTGCTAGTCATAAAAGCTAGGCTCTCAACCAATCACCGTGATCCCTTGAATATTGGTCCTTCTTACCTATGAAGTGCAGCATTACGAACACTCGCTAGATCTTCGTACCATAGTCTTCTCTCTAAGGAGTTGGAGATGCCACCCCGTCTCACCCATGGTGACCCTTAAGCTTCTTAGACGATATTTCCAAGTTGCTTTGAAGGATAACGCCGAGTAAGTGAAGATCTGACCCTGCTTACCTTGGCTCCGGGTTGGGCTCAGTCGAAGTAACTTTCACTATGCTACATGTGACTAGCATTAATCTCCAAGGAAGAGTACCCATGATCATCCACCAAGACTCTTAGAAGATCAGACATGCCAGCCGGTATAAATCGTGCCGAGAAGTTCTAATGGGCCACTTTGGGCTGGAATCCTTTGGCCAATTCTCCACACAGCTAGGGCGGGTCGAGACTTTCACTCAAATCACCCCGTGGGGGAACAGCTGGTGGCCCAGGGGATTAGGTAGTATCTCCAATCGCATAACTTGGAATCAATTGTGGGGAGGCCACCTTGTCCTGATATAAACAGGACCTACCTCTACGCCTTGTTGGTTCCGAACACACCAGCATCTACACTCAGCATTCGAATCAGTAGCATATGCTCCCACAGTTCTTCCTCATTTTCAAGATTGAAATTTAGTTTGACTATTCACTCCAAGCTTAGTTGTCTTTGTTGCCATTTCTGTTGGGACATCCTTTCTTTGCTGCTATGGGTGGTCAGGACCCCCAGCATCGGGATCGCATCAGCCAGGATGTCGCGCACTTGGAGACGATGGACACAGTCGCCGATATAGAGGACAAGAACGCCCATTCCCGCATGGACCGGGAGGTCGCTGAATACGCTGGAGCTGAGCGAATTGATATTGATGAGGCAACCGATAGGCGTTTGAAAAAGATGATCGACAAACGCATTCTCGTCATCATGGTAGTTACGTACTTCATGCAAGCGCTTGATAAAGGAACAATCTCGTTCGTGGCAATAATGAACTTCAATAAGGACAACGGATTGATTGGGCAACAGGTAGGTGTCGTCACGCAGTTGGGTACCCCGAAGAGTCAAATTTGTAAGCTGACCAAATTCACTATCCAGTTCCCATGGCTGACGACCTGCATTTACATTGCTGTTCTCATCTGTGAATACCCAACCAATCTCATCATCCAGCGAGTACCAATCGCCAAGTATCTGTCATTCAACATTATATGCTGGGGCATAGTGCTGATGTGTCATGCTGCTTGCCATAACTTCGCTGGTCTCGTCGTAGTAAGGACCCTACTTGGCATGTTTGAGACCTGCTGTCAACCCACATTTGTTGTTCTAAGGTAAGTGATTTGTTTTCAGAAACGGACTATCGGCTTTTCCTATGACTGACTATATCTACTAGCGCAATGTGGTACAAGCGGCATGAGCAAGCCCAGGCGGTGACTTTTTGGTACGTGCTGAGCTGTTATGTTGCCCTTCCACTTGCTAATTCCCCCCGGCAGGTATGCGATGAACGGCGGTCAACAGATTGTAGGAGGTTTGTTGGCGTATTGTTTTGCCTTGATCAAGTCCGGACCTTTACGTTCATGGCAAGCACTATTCGTAACATATGGCGGCTTCACTATCCTCTGGGGTCTTTTCATCTTTTTCTGGATGCCGGACTCTCCTATGCGGGCCAAGTGCTTCTCTGAGGCGGATAAACGTCTCATGGTAGAACGGGTCCGTGAGAATCAGACCAGCTTACAAAACAGAGAGTTCAGGAAAGAACAGGCGGTTGAGGCGCTGTGTGATCCGCAGACCTGGGGTTATTGCCTCATCTCGATATGTACTACATTACCAACGAGCGGTCTTGGAGCCTTCAAGGCCATCATTATCCAGGGTTTCAAGTTTACGGTGTTGCAAACACAGTTGCTCGCTATGGTCCTCGGTTGTTACATTATTATTATTCTGTTTTCTACCCTCTTTCTTATAAGAAAGACAGGCCAGAATCTACTAATCATGGGTCTTTTCCTAATACCGTACGCTATCTTATCAATCCATCCTTTGCTCACAGCCTCACTAACTATTTGTGTTCTGCTAGGTCTTTTGCCGGTACCATCGTCATCATGACGGTTGAGAATAAGAACCAGGCCACCCGCATAGGTCTTCTTATAAGCTACTATATCATTTTCTCGTTCTGGTCTGCCCAGACGACTGCATTATCAATGATCAGCCGCAACGTCGCTGGACAGACCAAGAAGGCCGTTGTCATCGCTGCAAATTTTGTCGCATGGGCCACGGCTGCTTCAATAGGTGGGCATCAGTAGCATTTCCAGATGAAGCTCCATGCTAATCCAGAACAGGTCCCCAGGTCTTCCTGTCTTGGGATGCGCCTCACTACTTCATCGCTTTTTCAACACATCTAGGGTGCTATAGCTTACTGGTTTTTGTCATCATCGCTCTGCGCTGGCATTTGCGCCGTCAAAACAGGAAGAAAGATGCGATTGCACCGTTCGACCCTACCCTGGCCAACGCATTTGACGACCTGACCGATCGAGAGAATGCAAATTTCCGTTATGTATATTAAAAAAGATCTTATGATCTGGATTATTATCAACTCCATGGTTTAGGAGGGAATTTCTGTAAGGAGAGAATATAGGGAGCTGGTGTAACTTAGAGTGGAATGAGTTGACGACTTATCAAGGTTGGGACATGAGCAAGCTTAGCTATATCATGGAAAACGCCTCCCAACTTACTCCTTGCCTTTCTTCCCAATCCTGACTTGTCGTTTGAACAGCGCGGCTCCAACCCCGGATCAATTCTCTCCAATAGCATGTTTCAGCCGCCGGACTTAGATACCCTCTGTCTGCGAAGAGCTTCCTTTGCCTGCTAGCAATGCCTTCAGCAATATCCCCATGATCTTCTAGCCATTTGATGCTTTCCTCTAGATCGGACCAGTCTGGTCTTACAAACACAATATTGGCATCTTCGGGACGGTAATGCTGGGGCCACGCCATTCTCTCACCCTCGGCTGGCTCCCATGTCTCCTTGCTTCTAAAAGTTGGATCAAGCAAGGGCAAATCAGACGAGAACAGCGGCTGAATTAAATGTGTGGTGTGTTGCATCCATACGATGGGCGGAGTAAGAATGATGCTCTTGCACAGTTGCAGAAATTGGAAGCGGCCGCTGTACGTAATCCCCTCCGTGTGCAAAACGTACTTGTACTTACAAAAGTCTTCAATATTTAAGGAGTTCGTCGCAACCGTTTGACTGCCCGACCCCGTATCGACTTGAATCCAATGGAGCTCCTCAACATCTGCCCACGCTGCATCTTTCGTACTATTTATGAGGTTAACCCGCAGCGTCGGGTTGTATACACTGTTGTAATCCTTCGTTCCCCTCCACACTGGTCGTGAACTCTTTTGGCTGAATGGCAAAGACGTTTCTATGGCTTGGATGGCATCTGCTACGCGATAAAATGAGCCGACAAATGGCAGAGGCCACGCCCAAAAGGCAAAGTGCGGCATAAGGAAAGCCCGGACGATGGGTGGATTTCCAGAAGATGGCGCGGCATACGCCGGACGGGAGTAAGACCAGGCTGTCCCCGTTGGCTGGTCTTCGATATTTACTGCGAATACAGTATCGGGTAGCTGGCTCGGAGATGTCAAGATTGCACGGTGAATCTGGTGGAGTGCCGCTGTGCGAGCCTGTCATGCCTGTGTCAGCCCTAGGTATCATTACGTACTTGGTCCGAACCTGTCAGAAGCAGACCTGTCTTAGATTCGTGGGCAGAGAATCCCTGTCATCCCAATTGATGATGGAAAGCTGACAACTGAAGTGTTAGTTTTAGACCATAGTACATAATTCTACATGTCAATCTGCACGCACTTGTCCGTCCTTAATCCTAGCTTGAAATAATCCCGAAGCCCTTGCCTGTTTCAATGGGAATGGGCCCAGAGACACAGTGTCGTCAATGCTCTTGAACAATCCAGGAAATGTAGCCCTGCATTCGTGTTCATCCATGTGCAAAGTTTTGATAGCGTGTTGACCAAACGGCCTGGAGATGGCTATTCGAGGAAGCTCCAGATAATCCCCTGCCCCGAAGTACAGCGACAGGGTTAAGCACATTAACAAAACACACATTTGTGTCCATCGTTTGGCTCTCCGAATCGACATACTCTTTCCAGTGCTGAGGACCATACGTTTTTTGCATCAATATTCGTTGCAATTGGAAATTATGAATCAAATAAAAGAAAAAGAAAAGGGGGGCATGAATAACCAAGGACCAATCAAATTTCACATCAAGGATCAGTTAAGACTGTTTCGTTGCCTAAAGTCCAGATGCATTCTTGCTTTTGTAAGCAATCCAGCTGTTGCGGCACGAGCTTAACCGTTATATTAGCCTACGCAACCCCGGCATTCCCATTTAATATTTCAGCAAATTCCATGAAAAGCTTGTTCACCAAAGAGTTCTTCTCAGCTTGCCACATTGGCTCTCGTATCAGGTTAGAGGAAATCCCACCCATGTCACCACTGGCCAGTATAACTCATTTGACCTGTGTACTAGCGACCTCGTAGCGCCATGATCGCCAAATCACGCCTAGTGCACACATAGCAATGAATCGACTTCCGGGGATATGAAATTCGCAACATATCTAAGACTCGGTATCATAATTTTGAAAATTGATTTCGTCCACCTTTTGCTCAGAAGGTCTATTCAATACTTTGTTTTAGAAACAGCGGTCGATTGACAACCGTGGACCTGTCTATACACGGACATCAGTACTGAAGAAAATCTATGACATGGTCTGTATAATTTGGTAATGAAAAAGTACCATTTCGGAACACTTGGGCTATTTCATGCACGAATCTACTGATGATGACAAACTAGGAGACATGTTCTTCCCAGTAGCTTGTTATTGCCATTTGAGTTATATTAATCCATAATGAACTAGTGGCTTCTATGTATGTGTGTGAAAAAGGGCAGCCAAGTTTAGGGGAAAACAAAATCTTCAGCCCTCCTCTAGACCTCACGCAGCAGCTACTAGAGCTCCGAGAGCCGAGGCTTGGGTGCGCCAATCGCGGACGTTTGGAGTAGCCGAGGAGTCAGCGCCGGTCCAGTGGACACCGAAAGTATTGAGGGTGTTGCGATCATTGTTCCAGATAGAGTTAGCCTGTGTCGTAATGTAGTTCTTGTAAGTGGAATTTCCAGTGGTGTCAGCAAGGTCTTGCATATAGCGCATGAATATCCCCTTGAACTGCTTGGCGTTGTCATCACAGGAACCTGTCTCGCAGGACTCAGTCAAAACACCGCTCTTTGTCAGTACTGAACTACTAATGGCGGCATCGCCCAGTCGTTGGGCCAGCGCCAGGGCACTGGCGTCGTTGGTGGCTCGATAGACCTCGAGACTGCCACCGATGGCGAGACCTTGGTTGTAAGTCCAGACTACGTCGTCGTTGTTGGCGCACGAGTTTGTCAGGCCGTCATTAACGAGGCCAGCAGAGTTGATCAGACCGCTATTCTTGAACCAGTTCCAAGCTGTTACACCGCGGTTGAGGTACGTTGTGTCTCCGGATATCTGGTTGTGTAGCTTCGCATTGAGCTTGATCCACAGACCAATGGTCACGGCATTCTTGTACGTCTTCTCACGAGACCACCACATACCGCCACCACAAGTGGACGTGTCGTAATACTGGTTTAGTCTATCAGAGATAAGAGTTGCCTCGTTTAAGTATTTGGAGTCGCTGGTGAGTTGGTACGCCGTCGACCATGCAACGGCCCACCAAAGAGCATCATCGTTGGCACGGCTGATAAAATCGCCCTCAATCGTGTCAGTGCTCTTGACCCCGGCGGCGAACGAGGCCTTGTTGACAGTGAAGGAGCGGTCCACAGCCCACAAATACTGCCGGTCGCCTGACTTGATCATGTAGTCCATCAGTGTTGTAATGGTTGCAGCCGAATTCCACCAAGACGACAGCCACCACGCCGTGTCGGGCTGATAAGCCCACATGAGCGCGTTGGCTCCAGCTGCGGGATGGTTGCTGCTAGGTCGGGCGAACGCCGTACAGGCGCCGTCGTTACCCGTTACCGCGCGGCCACAAGCGCGGACCGCGCCGCCATACAGCAAAGCCAGAACGTCGCGAGTTGAGAACATGACAGTAATCGTGCCCATGTTGCCACTCGGGACACTCACTCGACCGAGTGAGGAGCCTCCGTTAGTCCACGTGTTTCCCTCGTCCCAGGAGCGGTCCAGCCAGATCTCATCGCCCGCCGCACCACCGGAAATAGAGCCCCAAGCGAGGCCACGGTTGTCCATGTGCACTTTGGGATGCCGCGTTAGTTTTCTTTTCATTAAGAAGGACTGCAAAACACAAATGCCCTTTTAGCTGACCGTCTTATTTGGACTGCGAAGCTTACACCTTACAACTACATAGCAAGTGCCAGGGTTCCTTACATTGAATAGTGCGGCCAGCAAGGGTGTTACCACTAACAGGCTGATAGTCGCCTTGCGCCGTGGAGGCAGAGGCGCCATCACACTATGAGCGAGATGTAGTCAGTAGACTAAGCCACATATCAAGCATTCGAAGGGACAGTGGGCTACTCACAGCTCCGCTTAGATCACAGGCCTGCATGTGCACCCAGCCAGTGCAAGCAATGCCGTTAGCGTCGCCACAGGCTCGGAGCATACCCCGTCGATGATAGTCAGGATCAGCCAGGTTGTACATCTGAGTTCTGGTGCCCGTCCATCCCATAGGGATGGTGACCTTGCCAAGGAGCTCATCCCAGGTCACTCCGCCATCCCAACTGCGGTCTATCCAAACTCCATCACCGGTTGCTCCATTGTCGATACTCGCCCACCCCATGGCATCGGTGTCCGAGATATGCAGGCGAACGATCCTACTGTTGGGATTGACATCGCTGACGGGGAACGTTTCTGACGTAGCTTGGGACGGATCCAAGGGGTCGCAGCGCACAGAGCAAACACTGCCATTCGCCAAGGCTTGAGGCCCTTGAATAGTGCCGTTGCTGGCCACAAGCGGATCGCTGGCTCTGTTTTCTAAGTTGTTGCTAACCGCAACGGCCCGGCCATAGGTTCTCGCATTAGCATGAGCAACAGCGTGGTCAAGAATGGTTACCGAGGCACGAGCGGAGATGTGTTCTAGCGTTGGTGCAGCGACTAATAAGCGTGCAAGCCCAGTAAGGAGTCCAAGGACACTCGCACTTTTGCATCCCATCATGAGTCTGTTCTCAAGAAATCAAAGGAAGACCATCGATCTAGACTCAATTCAACTAAAACCTACTACATTTTTCTTGGGACTCTCAAAGAAAAGAGAGAGACTGACTGTAAGCTTATCTACGTAGTTTGTAACTACATACTAGTAGCTATTTGGATCAACTTCCTAGGAAGGGTGAGAAGGTCACGTTACGGTACGGTCAATTGCCTCTAAAGGGAGCGCCGTATGACTCTTTATTGACTTCCAGTACTACTCTCCAGCGGCACAATGTAGGATCGCACCATTCGGCCCGAGGGACCCATGCCAGTGCCAGTAACGTGGCCCTTTGGGCAAACATACGTTCTGTATGACTTCACTGTCATGAATTATGGCCTTACCAATTCGTAGATGTGTTGCAATAAGGGAAATGAAATAAGATTCCTACCTTAGCTTCGGACTGCCAGAGGAAGTTAGGAGTGATTACGGCTCCACCTCACCGGTTGCGGGTGCCGAGCAGCATTCTTAGCGCCCTACAGGGCCATGGTCCAATCTGACCCCTGCGATGTGGTTATGGAACAAGTAGCACTCAATCAATTCACTGGAAGGCTCTAAACTATGCGGAATAAGCCAAGATTATGCACGTCAAACCAAGAATAAGAAGCTGGCTTAAGCTAGTATAAAAAGCGCACCACGGGCCCTAGAGCGTTCTACTACATAGTGCCTCGAGCCTTACAGGGAGCTACTGAAGGGCAGGAGCGCGCTAAGTGGTCAAGAAGACCGCGGTGTACATCTAGGCAGAGGTTACATACTACTGACTGTAAACTCCCAGTATCCACACAACTTTAGAGGGAAATGACAGCAATAAGTAAATCCTCCTTCTATGGAAAAAAAAAAAAAAACCACGAGGCAAGCGAGGCTATTAAGTTGGCTTTCTACGAGTATTATGGTACTTCAAATACTTTTCAATGAGCAATATAGGCTTTTATTTGTTCGCTTGAAGTAGGTGCTGATTTTTTCCTGTGGAGCTCGTTGCCTTGGGCTTTGTTATCTCTCATATTAAATGATTTTGCGGGCTGATAATTATGTGGAGTAGTTTTCGTTATTCGTGTTGATGTGGATTCTGTGTTGGCGACTGATTGCCGTTACCTTGGGGGAGAGGGGGCCGAGACGGCGTTTGAAGTGATGTTCGCCGCTGATTTACGATAACGCGATCACTAAATACCTAATCTTTTCCACTACCAGATCTCCAAAGGTCTAGACCTGGCCGTTGGGCATCTAAAGGTACTATCTTGACGACTTGTCGAGGTCAAGTGAGAGAAGCGAGAACGGTTTCCTATTTCGACGATGCATGTTATATGTGAAGAAAGCCGTGTAAAGGCTATTTGCAAGACTGATATATTGTAATATTTACTGGTTGAAGGGGGTGGTTTTGGAACCCGTTGTGCTTCTTTTAGGAAGCAGACTACGAGAACAGTTTGATGTACCCTGCTAGAGTACCACATGTACCACATTCCCAATGGTCGCATGATCCCGCAAGTGTTATATGGACGACAATTAGCACATATTTGTCACTATAGCTTTCCAATGCGCCAGCTATCTACCTAGGAAGACGTACAGCTTGAGTTGCAAGCATCTAGCAACTTAATACCTACCATTCTATCGGTCTTAGGCTAGCATTCCAATTCCTTCGTGTGTCATTGAATGCTAAGTCCAAGAGATGTTCCAATTTCTAGGATATCCTATTTTCAACGACCTAATACCTTTGGAAGTCTTCCTCATTACCGAAGTTCCAGGTCGGTGCATCACTCCCGTTCGGTCTGCTCGCCCTTTGAAACCCAGACTGCACTCCCTCAATGCTGACCACAGGACTGACAACCGTCACGTCGGCGTTATACTTGGCTGAGTACCATCTTTCCCACAAGTCACTTCTGGCAAAGAATTCGGGGTACCGTTTCTGCATGCTGCGCAATGCAGTTCCACTGATCTGATCGACGCTATGGCTATGTCTCAGGCTCAAGAATTCATCACCAGCCAGAGTCCGAAGCCTCTCTTGCACAGTCTCAGACAATAGCCCACCCTGAAATAGCAGTAAATCATATTGTAGCAGTGAAGTCTTGCCGTGCCATGAGCCCCCTCTGGTGGAACGGTGGTAGAGGCCGGTGAGAGCTGCAATGGCACCCATACATCCAGTGCCATAGTCGGATATAGGAAATGGAGGGACCACAGGTTCAGACAGGTTCATGAAGTGGCCCTGAGCCCAGGCAACTCCGGATACCTGATCCATAATACGTTGTCAGTAGACGAGACAAGCCATATGTAATTAGAATCCCAAAATCACTTACGCAATCAGCTATTTGTTGCCACCCTGCCCTGCTAGCCCACTCTCCTTCGTAGCCAAAACAGTTCTCATTTACATAGACAATACCCTTGCCCCTCTTTGCTGCCATTTCACTCAATGCTCTCGGACCGTAACCGAGCTTATCAAATGTGCCAGGGCGATACCCATCTACTACGACATCTACGTCTTCAAGTAACTTCTCAAATACCAATTTTCCCTCCGAGGATTTAAGGTCAAGTTCAGCAGCATGTTTACCCATATTGCCGTCGACTTGAAAGAATGGTACATCACTGAGATGAGGACTCGTAATCTTGAGGACATCGGCCCCGTATTCAGCAAGAATACGCGTGATTGTGGGCCCAGCGATGATGCGACACAGTTCAAGCACTTTAATTCCACTAAGGGGCCTCTTGTCACTGTTCTGTGGGAGAGATGACGGCGGTGTCGTTGACTCGAGTTGTTCAACTGTCCAAGGAGGTCGTCCTGTATTCACTTGCCCCTTGGGAATCTATGAGCATATAATTATCATGGTGTTGAACAGAACACGCACTTACGTGTGATGACCGTAGAAAGTCCTCGTGTTTCAGAGCCATGATACCTGCTTGCTTATTTGCCTTGTTTAAAATCTCGAGTTGTTCTACTGTGAATTGCCCTACTGCTGTTTCAATGGTATCGACAATTTGTTCATGAGTCATTAGATCTGGTCTGAATGGCTCAAGGCCAATCATCTTCAAGGTTGTTGATGCCTCTAGAGAACCATGGATATGGTAGTAGGCACCGGGAGTCTTAGTTTGGTACAAATTCGCAGACATGCGTCGATATTGGTTCGACTGGGCTTGGAGTAGATCAGTGTCTGCATGGAAATGTGTTAGTCATTTCTTCGGCTTCCATTCCTTAATGCAAACATGGCAAATATTGTCAAACGACGTACCCTTCAAAAGGTTCTTGACTGCGGGATCGAGC